TCAGGTGGGTAGTTACCTTTATAGGAGCCTTATACTAGGTCTATATACCTTATGGAAGCCTTATAAAAGCCCTATATACCCTAAACTCCCCACCTGTAGTTTCCTTTAACTTAGTAGCTGAGTTCGTGCTAACTCAAACGTTTTGGGGGTTAATACAACCCTACTGGGCAACTAGGGTGGGCGACTGTTCCCGAAACCCGAGACGGCTGAGGGTGTAGAATTAAGCCTTAAGGGGTACTGCAGGGGAGCTGTAATTTAATTATAAGAATAGGCTTGGTTGAAGGGATCAGGGCTTCAACAATTTGAAACATGGCTCTGGTGTATCTTATATTATCGTGTATGTTATGATAAGGGCCCTGGTGAAGACTACGCTAATGATTAAGCCCCACGTGCGATTGTTGTGCGCATAACCGGCTAACCTACTTGCTAGGCACATGGGGTTTCCGAAAATGGGGGACCCTAATATAGTACCCTAAATAATGGGACCCTTATTACAAGGACCTCAGAATAAGGTACCCTAATTTTTGGAAACTCCCACATGAACCCTAGTACAACATCGAAGGTTTTCACCTTCAACTTCATGGCTATAGTTCCGCTGGCCGCAGCCACAGGGTGGGGGAGGAAGCCTATCTTTCAGCATTAGGACTACAATGACTACAGGATTTAGGGTTTAGGGCTTTAGGCTCTTGGGCTTTGAGGGTTTGGGGGATTAGGCTGTCTGTATATGGGTGGTTGTCAAAATTATGGCCCCTTTTGGGGTCATTATAATACGGCACCGATTATGTAGGGTACCCCAAAAGGGACCCTAATTTTGACAACTACCCATATGGTCTGCCGATGCCTTAGGCTAGTGGGGGGCGATGCTGAATGGAAAGGCTGTAGTCCGGGTCTCGGCAGAGGGCGACATTGTCATTGACATTATGCAGCATGTTTACTATTGGTAGTGAAGTGTAGTGGAGATTCAGTTTCAGATATGACGTTTCTTTGCCTGTTGGGAGAGAGAGAGAGAGAGAGAAACCCTAGCTTCGCAACGGGTTTTGCACGAAACAGCAAACACACCCTCCCCACGTTCCGTCAGAAAGAAGCACAAAGACACGAATACAAACAGCCGGGAAGAACAGGCCAACACGGCTTAGAGTTTAGGGTCAACGAGTCCCAAACTAAGGCTGGCATCTTGGGCGGAGCGACCGAGAAACTTGCTGCCGGATCCCCATGTGGTGTTTATTTTCTGGTGTGTATGGGGATAGAGAGGCTGAATAGTTGGTACGTAGTATCCCCTTGTAGCGCAGAAGCCTAGTCGAATTATGAAAAGCTACTATATTTCGGGTCTAGTAAGTCTAGTAGCCCTAAACCCTAAACCCTAATCCGTGTCTTGGTTTTATACTGGAGTTTTCTGGGGTTTATGGGGGTCTGCAGGGACCCTCACGCAGCCGGGGCCTCGGGCTTCGTTGCTGGAGAACATTTCCGCTAAAGAAAGAACATTCCTGGGCTTCAGCTTTGGGCTTTAGGGTTTAAGGTTTAGGGTTTAGGGTTTAGGGTCCACGGTTTAGGGTTTAGGGTTTAGGGTTTAGGGGCTTCAGGGCTTTTGGGTTTTGGGGCTTCAGGTCTGAGTGGAAGGACCCTCGGCTTGGAATTACATCGCAACTTGTGCACGTAGCTCCGTCTTAAACTGTTCTTTCGGGTGTCGGCAGGCTGCTCCGTCCGTTTAATCCCAGCTACGCAGCTACACGCGAAAGCCCAAATATCCCTCGCCCGTGAAGTAGAAGTCGACCATAAATGCGACGTGTGGCCTGCAGTGGTTCAATCATGGCACTAGTACTTTTGATGACCTCCTTATTTGGCAGGTGCAGCAGCTACTATTGGCGTTTCTACTTTCAGAATCTCTTGGTGTACCTTCCCTAGTTTACTTCAGCTTCCGCCATGTTGTTATTCAACAGCTATGTGCATTCCTGTTTGCACTCAGCACCTAAACCCTGAACCCCAAACCCCTAAACCCTACTCGCTGCATTCCTCTCACTGAGCCTGACTTCCTTAGCTTCGCTGGCCCGCCATCCCCGGCCCAAGGCTGAATGGCTTAGATCAGACCGAGCTCCTTTTGGGAGTTTCCGAAAATAAGGGTTTAGGGGTTTAGGGTTTTAGGGTTTAGGGGTCCTTATAATAAGGATCCTATTATTTGGGGTACTGTATTAAGGTCCCCTATTTTCGGAAAGCCGCATTTGGGGGTTTTGGGCCTCCCCACCCCTGGCTTCAGATTCGGATGTCCAAGATTTCGTGCTGTAGCAGGAACTGTGGAACGGTGTGGATGAGTCGGTACTCGGCTTAAGCTGGGTTCTTGTTAGGGGAGTTAATTTAAGTTACCATAATGAAGAAACCGTCCTATTTACTATAGATCCCTTTTATGGTAACTTAAATTAAATTCCTTAACAAGAATCCAGTAAGTCTAAGGGTCAGTTGCTTTCATGATGGGCCCGTTGTATTGCGACTCTTGCAATCAAGTCCTCGGTCCTAAACCCCTAGACCCCTAAACCCTACCCAGAGACTCCAATATCCCTTAATTAAGGAATATACCTTAAATTATAGTAGGATCCCTAATATAATTTAAGGTATATTCCTTAATTAAGGGATATTGGAGTCTCTGGGTAGACCCCCGGGGTTCGAAC